GCCCTTGGGAATGAACCCTGCTCTGCTCTGGTACCTACCTACAGCCACTGTGCCTGTCTGAAAGATTGAGGGAAAAGCAGATGACCCATGTTTAAACCTTTGCTATAAAGCTATGAGAAGAATGAAAGCCCCTTGCAGAGATCTAAAAAACCAAAAACTCCTGTAGGGTTCATGAAAATAAGAGACCAAATACAGGAGAAATACTTTATTTTTGTCCTTGCAGAGGGAAAGGTCATGGTACAAACTAAAGATTTAAAAGGCATAGGAGAGCCAGAATGAAAAGAGACATTACAAATGCACCAATTAGAGGAAAAGCTTCAGTCAGAATTTGTGCCTTATCGGATGTCAAAGAATCCAATTACGAGACCAAAACTGATAAGGAACCAGGCTTTGTTAGTTCTGCAGTTCACAGAACTACCTGCTTCAAAGCACATTAAAGTGCAGCTGCAGCCTGAGAAATGACTATCACAACCACGTGCGATGGAATGGAGCCTGCACAGAGCCAGCCTTGGAGGAAACAAAGAGCAAACCATCAGTCAGTAGGAAATGAAGGCTGGGACTTTCCTTCCTTTGAAGACGATGTTCTGTACTGAAAGCACAGCCAATGTCCCCGTCTTAGACTTCTGAGGGTTTCAGGGAAGGGTTCATAGTTGCAGGTCCTGTTTGAAAGCAGGGGGTGGGCCTGTGGTAGAGCCAGGATAGCCCATGCAGAAACCGTACTTTTGCGGGCGAAGAAAGAGACAGATGGGCTTCTGTCCACCCAATGTATTCCATCGTCTTTCCCAGTGACTAAAACCTCTGGAGCAGGGCCGATTTGATTTTTTGGTGTAACCCAGCAGGGCTACAGTGGCACACCTCTTTAGCAGAGACGGCTCTAACAGATAAAACAGGCTCCGTTGCCGAGAGCCTGAGTGGGGTTTAAGCGGGAGAAGGATACACTTCACCCCGGGGAATTCAGCCACGCCTGCTGAGCAAGAGACAGAATTTAAGTGTAATGGCTTCTCCTACTCCCACCTACGGCGGCACGAACACATCTGTGAGAGCAAGAGGGGTGCCGCGCTCCCCCCCGCACCACCCCCGCTCCCCACCCCAGCGCCGCAGGCCCCGCTCGAACCCCTCGCCAAGCGGGAGGAGCCCAGCCTGCCTCCGAAGGCCGGGCCGCTGGCAACGGCCCCGCTGCGCTCGCAAACGTAACGGACCCAGCCCGCTCTCAGAGACAACATGGAGCCCCTTGCTGCCATTTTGCAAGCGCCGCTCCCTACGCGATGGGGACCGGGGGGGGGCGGGGAAGGGGCTCCCCCGCACGGCCCCAACTGCGGGGAGCCTGCGGAGGGGAAGGCCCCGCCGCAGCCCGGTTGTAGCTGCGTGGCGAGAGGGCCGGAGCTTTGCCGCGGGAGCGGCGGGGCCGGGGCGGAGCGCCGCCGTCCCAGGCCCGCCC